ACGACCATAATGGTACCGAATTAAAAGCGAGCCTTCATTATCCTGTAGACCCCCGTACGTATCTCACTTACAGACCCCACATGGAATGACGCGGCACAAGGGCCGCATTATTTAATCTTGCGATCAAACATCCGCTTTTAGCCAATGACCCTTGGATCTCCAGGGTGCAGGTGTAAAATCACAAACTTGACATCATCTATGACCCCTTTCCATGATACGTACGTAGAGCAAAAGCTTCACTTTGTTTAAATCTGCTTCACAAAAGACTGTCCCCAACCTGTCCTCTCGGGTGGTCTGAAACTGGTCTAAAACTCTTTAGAAGTCCCATCGCAGCCTTCAACTTTGAGCCTCCCTCCCTCCCTCCCTCCCTCCCTCCCCTCATCTCAGATTCTTGAGCATTATACCATGATAGAACATTATACAACATCCGGGGATACGGGTCGAAGAAGTCGAAGACCATGCGCATAGCGATGCGGTTGAGCGATTTAGAGCTCGAGGGAGAGAAAACAGAACAAGAAACCTTATTTAGAGTCTACCTGCTAGCCACATTTCTTAATTAAAGGGTTATAGTTAAGAAATAATCTAGAGTCTACTCTAAAAAAGCGTTTTTCTTAACAGAGTCATCAGCCGTATCGCAAGTTCCTGAAGGATTATCAAGCCTCAAACTGGCAGGCTGCAATTTGAAAGCCGCAATGGATCTTGGTGAGTTCGTTCGTGGCTTTTCGTTTTGCAGCTTTGTGTAATCATACTATTGTGTTATCATTGTTTGGCAGTTTCGTTTGGCAGTTTTCTGGCAGCCACTTTGCAAAAAAATCGGTCCCCGAGAATTCTAGCAAGCGCTTCTAAACTACTGCAGCGTGTTTTTCTTATAGCGCACCAAGCTACACCTCTTACGCTTCATTTCGGGTCAGGCTCGTTTCATTTCACTTCACGTCACTTTCACTTCACTCAGATCATATATTTGTTCCAGCTTTTCTCCGATCCAATAAGGGCGCACTGACTAGAATTCTGACACCCAGTTCCTACTTGGAAAACAACCACTTATTCATAGACGTTCCTATATATATATATATGTGTGTGTGCGTGTGTGTATTGTTTATAGATGACATGTAAATACACATGCAAGCATGCAGAGATATACATAAGTGTATCATAGTGTATCCTCCAATTCCGCGCCACCTGAAGTCCGGTCTGACCCACCGTTCGGATTCGAACGCGCTCGAGAACGTGGGGCTCCAGGCAGCCGGAGGAGTTTGGACTGCGAAGTCAAACCGCTCTTGGCCGGGCCACCGAGCCATGGGCTGGCGCGAAGCGGCGCGAAGCGAAGGTCCGGGTGCCGCGAGCACTGCGGAGCGTTTGCCTTTCCTCGACATGATGGATCTCATCATAGTATTGCCATAGAATATACGATACTAAATATGGTACAGCTATATATATAGCCATATTCAATATAGTGTTTGTTTTAATTGTGTATATTTACTGTGTTTACATGTTCAGAAAGGTCCAGTCTCCAGACCTGAAGCGAAAATGCCGTGGCAAACAATGGCAGCCGGCAGGCGGCCGGCCCGGCACGTGCATTTGATGTTTTTATCAACAACTCAGACTCGGACTGGTTTTGTTATTGAAGTGATGTTTGCATGTTCTTCCATCGGTGTACAGTTGGTTTGAGATATCTTATATCATGTTAGGTAAAACATTATACTCAATGCCGTAGTTTTGTCCCACTCTGGGTTAACACTGATCAAATCAACAAGCATGGGCTGAACATGGCTCAAACAGATTCTGACATGTTTGTTCAGGAAACCACAAGTACCAGTTTTCATGCAATTGCAGATTGTATCCTGCCAGCGGCAATGGCCTCCAACCTACTAGCGATGGCCTCCATCCTACTAGCGGTGGTCTTCATCCTACTGGAAATGGCCTCCATCATGCTAGCGATGGCCTCCAACCTAGTAGCGAAAGGGTTCCTAATTCCCTTTAAACTGCTGACTTACCATTCACGGCCGGGTTCTTGGCCAAGTTCCCATGGCATACCCGGCGGAAGCGGCCAACGCGCCGGAGACGTCCGCGCCAAGCACCTCGTTTCCTTCAGACATTCGCTTCGAGCAGTACCGTGATGAACGGGACATGCCAGGCGCTTCCAGGATGTTCCTGTGTGCCGCACCCTCAACAGTGCAAACAAATTGCTCCTGAAGATCTCGCAGTTTTGTTTTTGCATGTACCTCCTTGAGCACCACGTATTGATGCTCACTCCTCCCAGTGGTTTTGTGAACAGAAATCAGTGCAATGAAGAATGATGCACATGGGGCGATTAGAGAATCCCGTGTCCAGGTGTTTTTCCCTATAAATTATACAAGCATAGACCCCAAACAGCTTCAAACCGATTTTGGTACGCCCTACCTTCACCCCAAGAGCAAACTGTTTCATCAATGAACATTGACATCGCTATTTGTTCGGCCACACTCCCCTCCAGTAAACCGGGCCACAGAGACCAGCCACAGAGTTCAGGGGCGCGGCCAAGACAAGGACAAGAGGAGGACAACGCCCAGCCACAGAGGACGAGAGGAAGACAAGGCCTGGACTCAGAGCCCAGCCACAGAGTTCAGGGGCGCGGCCAGTGAGTGTGGCCAGCTCTTTTTTCCAAGATAGAACCCCAACAGTAAACTGTTTGGGGAAAAATCTAGGTTTAACTAGTTATTTATATAGGCTGTATTACATCTACATGACACTGATTTTGCAACACCCGAAAGAATGATGAAGAATGGCCACCACCATGCTTGTTGGGACAACCACCAACCCAGCAACGTTTAGAAACAATCTTTAGATGGGTCGCATCAAAAACCTGCTCTTCAAGTCGCCCAATCTCGGCCATTTCGCGGCACACCCATCATTATGGGCCATGCGCCGCATGAAGACGTCTACGTGATCCACGTGTTTGGAGGCATCGTGAGCTTGATTGACAAGGATTTGTCGGAGCCCTACTCCGTCTTCACCTATCGGCACCCCCCCGCTACGCGAAGCGGACGCGCGAAACGGACGGGTGGTAGTTGCGCTTGGCGTGCAGAAAATGCAAGTTGTGCACTTTTTGTGGATGGTGACAGGTTTGATGGAGACTTGTGAAATGGTTGGAAGTGTCCTGAAATTAGGGAGGGAGACTCAGGTAGAATCTGAGAGACCACTGGTTTGTACTGTAGATGATGTTTGGAAATCTTTAGGATTCTAGGCGCGGCGTGGTCTATGGTCGATCCATTATTCGCAATGAGGTTGTCAAACAGCAATCCTTTGCTCGAAACATGGGTTGGTGAGCAAAAAATACCTCGTTCCCTCGTTCATCAACCCACACCCCTCTCTGGCGCTGGCATCAGTCCTTCCGGGCCTGCGCGGACCTTCGGAGTGAACGATGAGTGAAGGGAGAAGAATGATTCCATGACTCGACCCGGTTGACGAGTCTTTTGGATGCTTTTGGTTGGTTGACGAGTCTTAGACGGTTTGGGTGATGAGTTGGAACATGTTGGAACCCTCAAGCAGAAGCGAAGGCTGGAGCTAGACCGTTACATAACATATCGAAATACATAGAAATATATATATATATATCACCAAAAAAATTCAATCACCTAGATCAGAGAAGGATTAGATCAGAGCAGGGTCGCATGAAATTTTATGTTTTTTTACTTTTTTGCATTTTTCACATGTTTTTATCAATTTTCCACATTTTTGATCATATTTTCACAGTTTAAAACATTTTTCCACATTTTTCACATTTCTTTTTCATTTTATTTTTTGTTTTAAAAAAAAGTTACTATTTTTGGGGAAAACACCTCAAACACAACATGGTTAATCAAATTGTGTTTCTTGGGGAGAAGTTATCCTAACAGCTGAACACAACTGACTGCAGCAGTCATATCACGCTCCAGTTTGCATGTGAAATTATGTTTTTGCATCTTTTTGCATATTTTTGCATATTTTCTCATGTTTCGAGATTTTTCGAGATATTTCGAGATTTTTTGAGATTTTTTGAGATTTTTTGAGTTGATTGTTGCTAAGATTTTCATTTAAAACATTTTTTTGCATTTTAAATCTCTTATCGAGATTTTAAATCTCTTTGGAAAGTCTTCCATTCCAAAACCTCTCCGGTGCAGGGTATTGAATTTTTTTTGGTGAATATATATAAATAATGTTATATTATTACAATATAGATTGATAATATTGATGAGATCCCGTTTGTTTGAGCGTCCAAGGTTGTCAGTGATTGAAATTCAGGATGGCTGTACCCTAAAACCGCCCTTTTTTTTTGGTTTGACCGACCTGCCTATCCTCCGTGGTCCTCTCCGACCGACGGCTGGCGACGTCGAGGCTGGTCGACCGAGTCACGGCGAGTCAGTCCAGGTATTTCATCAACAATTGGCCCGACCTATGCTTTATGACCATGCAAGGCGACCGCTGTGTAGGAGCCACTTGGGTCGAAAGAGATGCTGCGATGTTTTTAGCTGTGTTTTGGCGATGCTGCGGGAACCGCGGCTGGACCAACTGCTTTTGGGGTCAAACTGCTTTGCGAGATCTTGGCAAGAAACTGGCTGACTGAGTATGTTGTGTGGCTAAGCCTAGCGATGACCAAGACCTTCCAAGTCCCTTCATTGGTTGAGGAGCAGCACAACGAACCAACAGATCCGGAGGTGGAAAACCCGCTGCATCCACCCCTGAACGCCAATGTGTTAACAGTATTGACACCTCTTTTGCATCCAATTTCCATTGGCCTCCCCAAATGTTGGATCTGTGAGTTTGTGAATGTGGTTAGTTGACTCTGATGTGTTTCAGTCCATCACCAGCCAGCAATTGAGTTTGACAAAGCTAGGACGTATTCATGAGGCAGACGCCATCAGATGCCCCTTAGTGTCAATTTATGTTGTACCCATCAATTTGAGCCCTGTGTTCAGGTTCCGTATCCTCACCTCCTTTCACCCCATGCCTCGCGTCCTTGGCGTCTCGGCCTTTCGGCGTTCCCGTCCTCGACCGGGTCCCCCCGCCTGGCCTGGCCTGTCGCCTGGCCGGGCGCTGTCGCCTCCCTTCAGGCCATCATTTGCAAGTTGGATGTCCACCGCTGTCGGAAGACCCATCGAGGCGTTCGCGTTTGGTTTCCGAGCGTGCGACTCGCGGGGCGACGGACACGCGAAGTGCCGCAAAATGGTATCGGTTTTGGGTGAAGCGATGCCCATGAGAGATGATGGGAGACCCATCCAAGTGGGTTTTGATGGTAAAGAGGTGGAAAGACCATGCTCCGAAGACCAAACAAGGGGTTGTCCACTTGCATGTTTGTTGCAGGGAGGGTAAGGGCCAGTGGTGGTCACTTGGTTTTGTGCGCATTCGCTAGTGCATTCGCTGGCCTAAACATGCTGAGTTTGCATTTCTACATGATTGGCCTGACCTTCAACTTATGTGTGATTGTCGTGGAATTGGGAGCATGCGGGGTTTGAGAGCTCGGGGGTATTTCCCGAAAAGAGCACAGGAGTGCCTCCTGGATTGTCCCTGCCACTTGATTCAGTCATCTTCAGTCTATAGAGTCTATAGTTGATCACTGTGCTGGGTACCCTCCAAGCACATGCCTCCAACAAACACCGTTTAAGCACAGGGCCTGGAGCCTTTTTGCTTGAACTGCTCGTGTTTTCCACCGGCTCGCAGCTGCTCGCAGCGCTGCCGCGCGGCGAGGCTACATTGCCATGCTGGCCGTGGAGAAGGAGCTGCGCGGCCAACGCATCGGCTCGAAGCTGGTGCAGCTTTGCTTGGATCGGATGCGGCTGCGCGGCCAAAGCCAAACCGCCCGCCATCCGATCGTCTTCGTTTCGGCTGTGCGATCGGGATGGATGGGCCTGGATGGGAGTGGGAGGGGGATGGGGATGGAGATGGGAAGAAAGATCAGTATTTAGTCTATCCAAGATTATCAAAGTATATCCCAGACACTCCATGTATGGCATATTTACATACATTGACCCCTAAAACCACCCCAATGTAGGTAAATATGCCATACATGGAGTGTTTGGGTATTGTATCAGACTTTAGAGGACAGTTGGGCTTGTTTGGTTCGTTGGTCATGGAGCGCCACATTCTTTGCAGCTGAGCCAAGGATCTAACAGCTTTTTCATACCTCCTACATAGGTGACCAACCCACTCCGGAAGTCACCTTTCTAGCAGCTAATGTAGAATCTTGCTTAATCCGATACCCCTCACCCACTTGGATTCTAAACCCTCTCTTTATGGGGGATTTATCAAGCAAGATTCCACAGCGCTAGCATCAGTCCAATGGTCGCCTTTTGTGGCAACCAATGGCTTGCGAATCTCCCCCTGTGTTGTTTCTTTCTTCGAGGCAGTTGAATGCCGACGAGTGCGTGTTGGAGACAGAGGTCACCAATTTGGGAGCTCTTGGGCTCTATCGCCTTTTGGACTCAATCTTTGGCTGACACGTTATTTTGACATATGTTTGCAAACTATTTTCACAAAGAACATGATAATATATACGGAACCTTTACCTACTAGCCGTGGTTCTTCCAGACTTGAGCCTCAGATAAATCTGAGATCGTCTAGACTGGGGGGCCTGGATTCTTCTTTGTTGAGGGGTGTTCGACTGAAGACTCAGAAGCACCCAGCACAACTTGTTTGTGATATTCACATGATTCATTACTCACTCAGAATCACTGAATAACACAGAAGAAAAACAACTGATTGGACGAGTGAACCGGGTATTCACCCCCACCCTTCCTTTCCACTCCCGGGATTGCCCCATGATGGCCCATGATGTCCCAGGGAGCATGGGATTCGTGAAGGAGAAGAGGCTGCACAAGTACTACTTGAATGGCAATGACGTTGCTTGGACTTATGTTTTTATCCAGGCCTTTTTGATAGGACACCATACTAGTCATGACAGTACCATACAGTTTATACAGTGTCATGAGTAGACTTGAGGGGTACCATTCAGTTTCACCCACTCTAATTAAAGAAGTTTTCTGTCATGCTCTCATACACTTTACTCCCGACCAAAGCATTGTGAGCGGGTGTCCGACGGTCCCCCAAGGGTTTTCAGGCGGAAGAACGAAAGCGGAAACGGAATTGATCGGAGGACCCTTGTTTTTCCGTGCAGATTTGGGGTTTAGATGGGTTTAGAGATCAGACTCCCGGGTCCTTGTTGCGGCTTGATTGAATTTTTGGGCTCCATGTTCGGCAATCGTGTTCCTGATGCGGGCAGCTATGTTGGTGTGTGGCATTATTCTTGACGTTGATAGAGCTTTTTGTTTTGTTGGAAACCCAACATGTTGCCCTGAAATCCTAGCACCTCGGGCAAAAACTCCAGCGCCTCACTGCTTTGTCCACGAGGCTTTTCGTTTGAAGTATCTCTTCAAACTCCCGGAGGGTGACCTGGCGGAAAGGGTGTTCAACGCATCCACTTTGTCAGTCAAAAGCTGTGGTGTTGCAGTGGCGTTGAACTTCCTGTGACCCTGCAGAGGAACTCCAATACGGTACCCCCTCTCGTTCATAATAGCAGTAACTATGCAATGTAATAAGTAAGTAACAATTAGCATCATCAGCAGCAGCAGCACGAGCAGCATAAGAACCATTGCTAATTACTTAGTAAGGTAAGAGACATTGGTTCATCATCACATGTGCTATAGTTATGTCAGGAAGACATGACATGGAATGCCACGTGGTAGGCCATTGCAGGGAGCGTTCTCTAGCTTCTGTGAAGCTCAAGAAGGAAAACATTCACCAACATGTCGATTTGGAGACCTTCGTCCTCTTCCAACATGTGGGAGGTCCCAATTCGCCGGTCCGGACGTCGCCGGATCCAGTGGATCCACAAGCAGGCTTTCACGCTGGCATGGGCTGCCTGGGACAACTGGTCGAAAGTTGGACACCTGAGACGAAGGAGTAGAGAACCGAACCGGCGAGTCGGCGCGTGAAAACACCGGTGGTAAAAAGAATGGAACGTCGCGTGGCGCTACCACGAAAGCGGACGTGTGAGAACAGAGCGGAGGGACGAACTTGCCAGCGATGGCGGAACAAGCAGCGTCAGATGTCCAAATTCCTCAAGATCTCGAAATGTTTTTTTTGACGGGTCAACATTTTGCTGCTCATTCAACTTCTTTGGCCCGTCTTCCAGGCCCTGGAGTCGATCAAGTGTCGGATGATGCGTCGTTCACACAATGACCACGTTTTTTCGGTGTTTGGTCTTTGCACTTTGGCTAAGAGAGGTTCCTCAAAAGCGCTTGGCACGAGGTGTGTGGCTCCCTGAACGCGGATGTGATCATCGAGCGGCTCGATGTGAAGGATGGGACCTAAAGAATAGGAAAACATACACTCCCGAAAACTAACATAGACCCTGACAATGGTCCCATGGAAGACGATTTTCCTTTACCAACCAGGGGTTTTCAGGTTTCATGTTAGTCTTCCAGGGTGTATGTGTTTTTGATGAAAATGGGGATTGATCGGCTGTATTGATGGAGAAAAGCAGACTGTCCAAGTTGGATTTCATGATCCACTGAGTCAGGCAATGAAGTTTGGACAAACACGAAACTCAAACTTTATCGACTGTGTTTGAACAGATATCGATCAACATCTAATTACTTAATAGAATGCATCAGAATGCGATTACAAACTGCTGTTGCTTTCCGATGTGGCACCCTTTGAAACCTACATTTGGCGGAACTGTGTCGATTTAGCATTTAGCAAAAGCATGGGCTGTTTGGGCTTGTTTGGAGTCTTGGACCACATGTCTTGGACCTTCGACACAGAGTTCAGCGGCCAGATGTGACCAGCCAATTCGCCAGGGATGAAGCTCCGCTGCAAAGTCCAACCGTCAACCACCAGCTTCGCCACTACCGCTCCAAGGATCTCGAGATTCCCAAAGAAAGGTGAGACCTTAGGAGCTCGCAGCCCGGAAGCCCAGTCAGCTGCTTGGCCCAGGTTCGACTTCCCCCCTTCAGTGGAAAGAATTCAGGCCGTTGGGACCATGATGAGAAGTCCCAAACACTCCATGTATGGCATATTTACCTACATTGGGGTGGTTTTAGGGGTCAATGTATGTAAATATGCCATACATGGAGTGTCTGGGAGTTATATGCATTCTACTACGCAACCCTCGCGCTCCAATCCTGCCGCACGTAGCCCTTCCACTTGTGGGGTACTGGAGGGTTTCCAATGGTGTCAAGGGCGGAAAGAGAACATGTCGACAGACCGCCTGCACAATGTTCTAAACTGCTAGGGAAAGGGGAAACATCCAAACCTTGGCCGTACCATGAGGTTAGGAATTCATGACTGGCGTTGGTGCTGAAAGGAGTTGCGGTTGAGAACCTGACTAGGTGTGACTAGGTTCAAGAGATTCATGAACCACCAAACTCTTTTTGGGCATGCGGATGCCCTGCAAACCGAAAACACCACACTCAAGCTCCAAAACACTGTACACACATATAGATAGAGAGAGAGAGAGACAGAGAGATTGCAATGCACAAGACCGTCTAACGACCTAGTGATTGGCAATCGCTGCAGGCTTGGGAACATGAAATGCGGCATGGCTGAATCTGTCCCCTCCTGGATCTGGTTGGAAGACGCTTTTCCTTTTCCAGATCAGGTCCATGTTGTTAGTAGTTTTGGTAGGGTTGGGTAGGTCATGGACTCATAGATACTTGGATGGGTGTCTTTCTCGCATGGTGGTTTGGTGGGCTCCATGACTGGCTCCATGATAGTTCATACATGTTGAAGCTTTGTCAAAGGGATGATGATGTATCAGCCGTCCTCCATCACTTTGGAATCTCTCTCTCTCTCTCTCTCTCTTTGTTTGTCTTCTATTATAGATTCTATATACTGCATTGCATATATAGTTATATAGTTATATATATATGTTTCTCTATTGTGCAGAGTATACCTCACCATGTACTGAGGCTCATGAGCCATGATATACACTCCTTGGAACTAACATGGAAGTGGACAATTGCCCTTTGGAAGACCATTTCAAACTGCTTTGTGGAAGAGTGTGTATGCATATTGTTGTATACGCATATAACACCAAATACATACACATATAACACATGCACATATAATATACATACACATATACATGCATATATAATATAGTTGTTTATTTTAGATTATACATATATGTACACCATGACGTGTATCCACTGACCACGGGACCGTGGGCGCCGTTCCTCCGTTTGTGCCACCCATCCGTCGTGGGCGTCAGCCGCCCGAGGTGCGGACACTGGCATCATGGTGCCCGGGGGCAAAGGCTGGGGAGTCCAACTGACGTAGAGAAAATTCAAAGCAAAACTCCACAATCATCAGATTGGAATCATATCATCTAGGGGACAAAGCCTGGACTACTTGGGAAGTGTTCTGCAACAGGCACCAAATGATATAACAGGAATTGATCGACGAGAGCATGTGATCGCCACACTCAGAGTCGAATCTTGCCGCCGGAGCCCCTCTCATGCCATGGTGTGGGGGTTGCCATCAGGACCAACACACCGACGACGAAGAACGTGTCGTCGGGCCGTCGTTTTTCCTGTCGACTGACCTCCGTCGCACCAGGTGCGAACCAAGCGGTGGCCGCCGCACGGCTTAGCGTTGGAAGTGGGCGCAAGGCCTAGCGGGCCGAAGGGCTGCTGGAGCAAGAGGGTCATTGATCAGATGTCTCAGTAAAGTAGTTGTGGTATCGGAAACAAATTGGATGACAATAATAGGCCCATAGTCATCCACAGTCTGTATTGAGTATGCCTGAAGGAGGGCTCACACAAATGCAATTGCTAAGGACACAACATGACACAACGATCAATGTCGATCATGCAAAACTTGGGGGAAGCTCGCCTAAGAAGCAACTTGGCAAGAGCCCACCCCTCGCTAGGTTACATAGCTAGGGTATTGGCTCCCAAGCACTAATAATTTATAATTTACATGGCTGCTTAGGTGGCAGAGCATGGTCAAGTCGGCGATAATCGGGTCCGGTCCGGTTTGTACAAACCGCCTGCCGACTTTCGCAGGCGGAGTTCGTGTGCCAGTTCGGGAACGTGAGGGGGCCCAGAAATGATGGGAGAAAGGTGCAAACTCCTTGAACAAAAACACAATCCCTTGAGCTCCAAGTACCTTCTAACAAGGTGGTTGGGGTGGGTTTGGAGGGTCCACGTACCTGAGGAGGTACGACTGGAGCCCTAGGGAATCAGAGATAGAGGAAACTGATAACACTGCTTTGGTAAGAGCAGCGTTTATATGGGGACTTTTTTGCAACCCCGAATCACAAGAAGCGGATGTGTTGAACATGTTGGAATTCGCCGGACAGGAATGTAATGTATAGATTTTGCACGGTGATGTGCTATGCTGGTGGAAAGTGCGATTGGAGTCATCCTGGTTGGTTTTAACGATCAAACAGTTTCATAATGCATAATCCCAGGATCGATGCCAAACAAAAGCAACAGCAATCCACTTCAAGTCGATATGCCAAACAAAAAGCAGTCGTCGATTCCACTCAAGTTATATTATATGCTGCTTCGTTGTCATGGTCAGTTGGTCGCTTTCATGGTTCAATGTTGAAGAAAAAACCTCTGGGGTGCAGAAGATCCTTCGTTGACCGGTTCAATCATCTCTCGGCCCATAAGGGCCTAAAATGGCCTAAAAGGCTGCCCAGGCTCATCAGAGACTGCCAATGCATGTTTGGAGGGAATACATGTTCTATCACGTTTTAATTCCCACAAACGTCTAGTGTGCTAGCTTACTTTTGCGGGAACTCCTGAAGTTTGCCCTTCAACCGAGCGTTTTCACAAAGCTAAGGACTCGCACGCCGGAAAGCTGGAGCAAGTCCTTCTTGCTGGGCTCCTGAGTGTGGAGATGCGGCGGACGGAGTGTGGCCTTTTCCTTTGAGCAGGGAGGGTTGCAACCAGTGGATGTGTTTTCTTCGAAAGACTCGCGCGAGCTCGCGCGCATCAGTGGTGAGCTAAGCTGAGCATCTAGTTTGGGCCTAGTGAACTGATGAAACAAGGTGATTAGTGACTAGTGCTCTCGCAATTCCGCTCCTCAAGAAGTGTCCAAGACTTGGACTGAGACAGGGCACTGTCAATTGCTATTACATCTGTCACTACCGTCTGAGCTGAAAGCCTGTCGAAAGCGCAGAATCGAAGGGTAGCAGCGTGAAGTACTGCATGAAGTAGGTGAAAAATACAGCACCAGAAGCTACTAGTAGCTTCTGGCTACTACCGGACCCTGCTTGGGACCCTACTTGGACCTTGGTTTTTGGTCGCCAAAACACCGCCCCGTCCAGGACCATGGGGTGGACATCACTGGATGTGGTCGGGCTGACAAGCCGTCACGGACTGAGCCGCCCAAGGATTTGAAAGGTCTGCAGAAGGATTACGGTATTTCATGGACTAGTTCGATTTGAATCATGTTGAATATGGTCGTCGACTCGTCTGACGTTGGAATTGGAGGACTTGGAGATCCCATACACTCCATGTATGGAATATATGCCATCCCATTGACCCCCCTGGCACCACCCCAACTGATCGGCAGTCCTATGGCATGTCTGGGGATGGTATTTGCTCAGGTCTGGGCAGGCGTTTATATTCCTGGAAGAGGATGGCCGTGGCCTCAGCCGGTCGCTCCGGTTTCCCCGAAGCGGTTTCACCGGTGAGCGGTTTGCGCAGGGAGGTGGGTGGGCAGTGACGGCCAAAAGCCATCAAAAGCCGCTGGTTTTTCAAGCCCCCAAACTCCAACTTCCAGTGGAATCCAGACATCTCCAGACCCTTGTTGCTGACCCTTGGTGCTGAATATAGATCGACCCTTGGATCTTTTGCCAGCTTTTGCCCCTGCCTTATACTGGCCCGATGCGCCTACCTCGGCGCTCGAGGTGCCAACTCCATCCTCATCGTGGGCGGATCCAATGTGGCCTGGCCCAAGGACGTGTCCAGCTTCGCCAGGCCGCTTCCT